TTATGGTTACAGCAAATGAACAGAACAATATTTCTGTGCCTCTTCAAAGGGAAATGAGACTTTAATGTCATTGGCAGCTCAATAAAACCATTTTCTAACATACAGGGTCTTAATGACAGCTCGTTTCAGTCCAGACAGTGAAGCAAATATGTTAACAGTAAACTCCAGGTCACTATAAGGAGATGGAAATACAACAGGTCCTCTGCACTTGGGTAACTATTGATTTTTTTTACTCCATATTCTCTACGTCTCACCCTGACTCACATAATGACTCAAGTGATGGAACGTCAATAAGCTATTTATGGCAAAGCTACCACATTTAAAGCCACTCAACAAGACTATGCCTAACTCAACTATCCACAATTTTTTAGATGTGCAGCAAAGATCCCCAATAATAAATACTACAAAGAAGGACAGGTCTGCTGCCTATGCGAGTAAAACATAATACAAGTATTCTTGGAGCAGTCAGAAGTATGGGGCCTTCAACTGCACTGGTCTTTGCTAAAGAGGACCACACCAGTACCAAAATACTTTATGCTTAGACTGAAATAAAAGACTTAATTTATTATGAGGTCATCCTTCAAGACAGATGGGCAGAAAAAACATCATATACGTGCTAAGGGTAGGGAAGAAAGAAATATTTTTTATCAGCTGCAGCACTACAGGCAGTTCTCAAGTACAACTTCAAGCACAAAGTGCGCTTTGTCCTTTGATGAAAACACTCAGGGATATTTTGCAAGTATCATCTCTCAAAACTGACTGTAGTAACGCTAAAGGTACAAAACCACTCTCTTTGGTGGCAAGGGCAATTCAAGCAGTTTTCATTTTCTTCCCCCAACAACTTGCCCTCCACACACAGTTTGCAATTTCCTCAATTGAGCTAATTTTGTAGTCAAGCTATAAAGCAGATTATGGGCACGTCTGCATTTGAAAAAGGCCTCTGGGATGGATATGTAATGCGTTTGCTTCAGTCCACATTTGCACTGACACAACGGAACAGGAGGTGAACTGCAGTGCAGGATGGAAATGGGTAGAAAAAGAGGTAAAGAAATTCTTCATCAGCAAAGCATCCCTCACACCTAACACTGATGTACATCTGACCCTTCAAAATGACCTCGTTCACATCACTTGCCAGACAGGAGAGGGAGGAAAAAAAAAGAAGAAAAAAAAAAAAAGGAGAATGAACTTCTCCCAAGTCAGCTTGTCTCAGCATCAAATATCAGCCCCACTGCAATGGAGACAGCAGGACCACACAGCCAGAGACGGGCGAGAAGCCAGAGGAGATGCAGGACCGCACCGGCTCTTCAGCATGCTGAGTCTCACTGGCATTGCTTATTAAAGACTAGACCCAAATGCTGCAGGATAAGGAAAGTTAGGCTATGCCTGAAATCCTCCTCAAAGTCAATGATATCTGACAGCGTTACTAAAGGAACCAACAGTAGCTGGATTTATTTCTGCTGAATTAAGCATCAACAGTTGAACAAATCCTCACGCTGACTCCACGAGGGATTTCTAGGGCTTTGGTCAGGGTCTGGAAATACCACTCTAAATTGTAATTTCTACCTTGGTTGGTACAAACGTCAGAATTACTGGTTTGTAAACCTCGATCTCCCCCAAAATTGTTTTTGAAGAAGTTGACATCCCATCAGCCACTTTCCAGTCCACTTTTACTGAGGGAGCTTTCCCGAACAGCTTACACAGCACATCAGTAGTTCAGCTATCATTAGCTCATCTATCATCTCCGAGTTTCTTTCAGAGTTTTTATGAATACCATCCAGGCTTGAAAAGCTGTTATTGGTAAAACTGTCAACTTCCCTTAACGTTTTCCACAGAAACGTCACACCTTAGCCCTTGTTTGAGGAGATCTCTGTAAAGTTTTGGCATGGGAGCTTTCAGAAGTTCCTCCACTCTCAAGAGACACGTGAAAAAAAAATTAAATCGCGTGTGTGGATGTTAGCTTTTATACCTTTTGTTAATTGTTCTTGAAAAGCCTTTTTTGTTATACTTTGGGGGGGGGGGGGGGGGGGGTTTAATCGTTTAACATTAAGCCTAACAAGCGTCACAATCCTCCTCATTCTGTTCACTTTTAAATTATTTCAGATTTATTTTAAGGATGCCCTCCTCCTTTGCCTTACCTTGCTGTACGAGCTCTGCTGACTTCTTTTAGGTCTTTTTGAGAAGTGGAATACTTTCGCTTAAAGAGACAAATGACATCTTTCTGCAGTTCTTGCCACCTGCAAAGCTTTTATTCTTTTAGCTGTTCATTTTAGCTTCATTTTATCAGGTTTTTTGGTTTGTATGAAGAGTTAATGCTAGCTTTTGGGTTGTTAACACTTAAAAGTTTCTTCTCTCCGAAACTATTAGCAGTAGCTGGTGTTAAAATTGTTTAAGAATGGGAAATATTACTTCAATTTAACAATTTTATGTGTATTTATTAAAACTGAATTAGTAGCCTTTGTAAAGAAAAAATAAAATTCTTCCTTTATAACCATAATTTCTTTTCCTGTGCACTATTTAAACAATTTAGCAGCAGCAAAGGAATTAATTTTGTAGATTACGCCACTGACATTTCAGAAGCAAAAAGAATCTGACACACCGGATCAAATCTGGGCTCCATAAAGTACCAACCTACCACAGCAGTTTACTAGAACGTGGAATTACTCATTCTACCTGACAAATAGTACACACAGATATATCCCCCGGTGTTACAGATTTTATAAATTCAGCTTGGATACATGAAACAAATAAACAGCTAGCATAAGCAATGACGCCAAGGGAATAAAAACGGACCAGTTACAGGAAAACAAAGGAGGCAACTTCTAGAAGAACTTGCAAGAAAGGTGAGAATTACTCCATGTTTTAATATTTAGACCCATTTTAAGAAAAAAAAAAAAAAACAACACACACCACACAAAGCCTACTTGCTACTTTGGTGAAAATCGCTATGCGCATTTGCTATTACTACTGCAATTTTGTCATTTCCACTATAGTTTGTTCATTCTTTGATGCGTACGGTAAGATAACAAAGAACCTCAAGACATTCTAAAATTTCACGGATTGCAACAGTAGACGATAAAAAAAATGAGACGACTACGCCAGGATACATAAATCACTAGCAGAGCTCAGACGCCTTGCTTCTCTTCTGATGTGCAGTATCTATGCCCTGTCATGCCTATGCTGCCACAAAAGCATGGTTTTGGTAGTCTGATCTAAAACGCCAGGCAGCGATGCCGTCACCGCGGAAAGGCAGCAAGTCATGCTGTCCTCCATGTGAGGGGACATCCTACAGGATTTTAAGGTGTTTCCTTCATTTCATTACCACCATTTGTGTGTTGTTCTTCCAACGCAATGTGCAGCGACACCACACACCTTGAAACAACACTCCCCAGGCTGATAAGGTTCAAAATTAGTTAACAGCAATTCCCGGTTGCTTCACAGAGGCAGTGCTAACTTAAATATTCTAGAGTAAAAATTAACAATAAAATTGACATAATGGCTAAATAAACCAGTTTAATATCCGTTATAAGAAATCTCTCAAGCGTTTGGCTGATGAGAAAGGTATCATGTGCTTCTCAAAAGCACAGCGCTAACTACAGTAGTAAGTGAAAGATGCATACCCCCTGGTAATTATGCAAATAATATTCCCCATTATAAATCTTCAGCTCCTCATTAGGTTAAGGCCACAAAATCCTTGTCTCTCCTGCACAATATTAAGAATCCAAGGGTTTACGGCATAAGACCGAGGCTGTACCTTTGTCGTAATTCCTCTCCATTTTCCTTTGTTCCCATATTTTAAAATGACAAAGTAGTAAACATTTGTTTACCATACTGTAATTATTCTTCAACAATAACATTACCATAGAGGTGAAAAAGCATTGGGAAGCATCTGCAAGAGATACTAATACTCAGGTGTGCTTAGGTGAAATTTGGTTTTAAATTGTGATTTGGAAAAATAACACGGGCAATAGATTTTTACTTATAAAGCGTAGATAAAGCTATTGCTTATTGAAGTGATTGGTTTAATGTGTTACCAATCAATAAACCTTAGAAAGCTTTCATTTTATTTCAGATACAGAGGGCCAAACAAATATTTATATAGATGCTGACATAAGTAATCCCATTTATTTTAATAGGAATGCTCACATAAGAATTTTAAACTCTTTGCTCTTGAAAATACCAGTTCATTTACTATTTATACTCAAGTAATTTAAAAAAAAATAAAAAGTTATATTCATACCTCAGAGAATAATGATTATTGTTACAAAGAAGAGTCAATACAGACTCAATATAGCAAGCAGCCACTATATATATGAAGTTATAAATCTGCCAGACATTTGAAATGGACTGAAACATATAGTGTCAGTTTTCAGAGGAAAACAGCCAGCCATATTTTACAATTTCCTTGTCAGGAAGTTTTTATACATCAACTCTAATGAAATACGACTCTTTGGTACAGAATTTTTCCACTAAGCTGGTTCCAAGGTTTGAGACAATCATCAGAAGTTAGACTTTTTGTTGTTGTTTTCTAGCACATAAGAGACTTCAGAAACAATACTTTAACTCTTATTGTTAGCCAGATTTCTAGCCCAGAAAGATTATGGACTGCATTTAAATAGGAATTAATTAATTTCTAGAAAAGTTCTCTTGTATTCTGTAACTTAACACAGAATACCCAAATTTAATGATAGACCTAGACTATCACAATACTCTTCCACTCAGAGAAAAAAGACATTTCATATTACCAACACACACAAGAAGACATATTATAGTTGCAACCTTCAGAAAGGTTACGCTCTTTCTAATCAGCTGTTCTTAACACAGGGATATTTGACAAAAGAAATAAAACAAAACGACATAATATGAACTAGTAATAAAGGAAAAATAAAAACAAAACAAAACAAGACGAGATCTGCTTTCCTCCTCTACCCATAGTTTGAAACAAGTCTGAAGACATGGTTGTTTGAAAAAACTGAGACTTCTATAAAAGCTTCTGAACTTACAAAACGCTGTGCCTTCTGACGCTCCTCTTCTGTGGCAGCTCGCTCTCGAAGAATGGCTCGAGTCAAATGTTCGTTTGAAGAAATCCTTTCTCGTTCCAGAAGTTTGCCGAACTCATCACGTACATACATTTGTTCTTGTTTCAATCTACAGAAGGTGGAGGGAAATTTAGATTGAAGGTATATTTTCCAAATGTAGTTTAAAAGAACATAGGCACAGTCACTTTAAAAACAGTCACCGTAATAAATTATTATCAGCTTAAAGACACCTGAATATGAATATTCACTAAAAATTCCAGAAGTCTATTTCAGATTGAAGTGTCAAAATCAGAATACACAAATTCAACAAGTCTTAGCAACACTATTAAATCACACAAAATACAATCCCTTCAAGAGCTTTATGAAAATATATATGTTTAAGTAATAAGAATAGGCACGAAGCTCGGTTGGTTGGTTTGTGTTCTGGTTTTGAAGAAGCCTTTTTCCAGGAAAATCCCTCTCTCCACCAGCCAGTGGGCACCCCGCTTCCAGCTAAAAGCTCTGTTCTTTCTTACAGTGGGATAATGCTTTCCTATCTCTGGACACACCACAAACCCAAATATTGCATCTATCTACCAAGCTGCAAAAAGACCGAACAGCCATAATGAACCTTTCCCAGCAATTTGAGACGATGAGATGAAAATAGCTATTGAACTTATTGCAACAGAGTTAATAAAGGCAACTCCAGGCCCAGAAAACTCTCAACATTTCTATGTCACAAACCATAAATATATTTGAAATCTTCGCTATAGTACTTGATATAAGCACAGCATATCTAATTTTCATGAAAATAGATAGACATAAATTGTTTAGCTAATAAAACTTATCTGTTGCATGTATGTTGTGACACTGAACCCAGAGTTAGCATTAGGGAACTCAGAATAGTAATGGCAGTATCAAACACTGGTTTTCAAATAGATTTTTGAAAGAGTGATGGAGAGGAAGCTTAAGTATTCTCAGTGCATTTATATGTTGTCAAGGGAGCTTCAGAGAACAAATCATAATGAGTAGGGTCACTTTGTAAAAGGTACTAGCATTACAGTACATTAGATTCTTCCCCAGGGAAAATATTTAAGTGAGGTGGGGAGGAAAAAAGACAATTACAAGATGTATTACTTCGGTGCTCAGACACAACCCCCTGCAACGCAGCAACCAACTGGGAATCTTGATAAAAAGTTTATTAAGCAGCATCTTCAATTACTCTAGCAAAAAAAGTCAGATTATGCAGACATGGACCAAACTCCATTAAGTGATTTCCCAAGGTCCCCCAAATTATTCCAGCAGCATTGATATAACAAATCCTTCACACAATCAATGGTGCAGTCAAAACACGCTGGTTGTCTTTTCGATTGGAGAAATCATGTTTTGTCTAAAAAGAAAAAAAGTGTCAAAATAGAAGCTTCAGCAGCTTTTTCTTGTGAGAGACAGCAGAGAAAAGCATTTAGCATTTCCAGAGACTGAAGTAAGCTCCTTCCTCATCCTTTCCGGATTTTACTTCCCACAAGTGGTTTTCCCCTAAAAATGTCTCTTCTTTATGCACACCGTACCTAGCAGAGTAATTAGAGTCTATGAAATGAGATAATATCTGAAAAAGGCTGCCAGAGGTTTCCACATTACAAATTTTCCTAAATTAAAACAAACACTTAGATGTTTACATCTAATTCTTGGCAAATTATTCCCACAGTTGACAGGAGCTCAGTTAGTCTTCTCAAGTCTTCTCCTTCTTGCCCCCAGAATTGCAACCCTTCGCGAGGTCTCCTCTCAACCTCTCTTGCAAAAAGAGGAAAGTCAGTTTTCCTAACGCTTAAAAATAATGGGCTCCTAATGTCAAGATAAACCCTTTGAAGGCTTAACCTGACTGCTCTTACATTCAGCTTCCCCGCTAAGTACACCACAGAGGGACGGGATGTTCCTTTCTGCTTTTGCCAAAACTCCGCGTGTCCTTTGCTGCAAACTTGCTACAAGATGATGACCCAGAATCTCGTCTACATTCGCGAGTCAGATGACTCCCCACCCTACGGCGAGCTATTAAAAAGCTTTTCATCAGAAGCTCCCACATCCCACAGAATTAGCAGACAATAACACAGCTGTGGGTAGGGCCACACCAGCGACAGAAGGCACGGCTATATAATGCTTGATTCCCACAAGCAGAGCGCTCAGGGCAACACTTGCTATTTCGACCTTAACCAGCCCATTTAAAATTAGTCCAGGTATCTCAATACTACCTTGTGGCCATTCCAGTTTTTAATATCTTCTTGGCCATGAACAGCTGTATCCTACCACAGCAAGAGAGGAAAGGATGGGGAAAGGACACTCAAAATTGGCACCTATAGAATCCCTGCCAAAGCTGCGTGCCAAACCTAATCCTGTAAGTTACTGGTTTCCAAGTACACTATGTGATAAAAGTCCCAGAAAAGGGATTCTGTCTTGGCAATTGCATCTCACTGTTGTTGCCAAACCGATCCCCCAAGGAACTTCCATCGCAAGGCAGTAACTGATAGGAGTGCAGTTCCAGCTCCCACCTTTGGCAATAATGCATTACGTGTTTTTAACAAATTACTATCCGCCCACCTCCTTTTTCCCCACTCCACGTGTAAAATGATATTACTAACCAGTTAAGTGATGTGCTCTTTCCCAATATGTGAAGATGAAAAGCAATATTTAATACTAGCATGCTTATTGATACTAATACCAATAATGATGTAAAATATTTACATCGAAAATGTAAATACTTAATCTATGCTGTTCATAACAGTTCATCCAAAGCCAGTTTTCTTAGTTACACACCACCCTTCTTTAAAGTGCGATTTCTTGGTGTCTTCAAAAATGCACTTAAAATGGTGTAAAAGTCAGCATAAATATCATAGAACCATAGAATCGTTAAGATTGAAAAAGACCTTTAAGATCATCAAGTCCAACCGTTAACCTAGCACTGCCAAGCCCACCACTAAACCATGTCCTCGAGCACCACATCTCCGGCTTTTATAAATCCCTCCAGGGATGGGGACTCAGCCCCTGCCCTGGGCAGCCTGGGCCAGGGCCTGACAGCCCTTTCCGGGAAGAAGTTTTTCCTAATATCCAACCTAACCCTGCCCTGGCGCAGCTTGAGGCCGTTCCCTCTCGTCCCATCGCTTGTTCCTGGGGAGAAGAGACCGACCCCCCCGGCTCCAGCCTCCTTTCAGGCAGTTGCAGAGAGCGATGAGGGCTCCCCTCAGCCTCCTCTTCTCCAGGCTGAGCCCCCCCAGCTCCCC